ACCATGAAACAGTTGCCTGATGGAGCTTCAATCTACAGTGCCAAGGTACTAGCAATTGATTTAACACTAGAAATTATAACTTCAAACAAATGTAATAAATTCATAATTTTCTGAGATTCAAAATCCACATTTATATCTTTGAAAAACAGAGACACCTCAAACCCCTTAAGCATAAAACTTTTAAATAAAATCAATAATCTCTCAAAAAAAATAAAGATATCACCTTCTGTTGGATACCTAGCGACAGTGGCATTCACAGAAATGAAAAGGCTGATAAGGCAGCTAAAAATTCACTAGATCTGCACCCCCCCACACACACTCAAATGCTAAAATCTCATACACGGACCTACGACCATATATTAAAAAGTACATTATGAGAAAATGGCAACAATCATGGAACAACAACTAAAACAAACTTTTTAACATCAAACCAAACATCAGAGAATGGCTGCCAGGTTATAGGAAAACAAGTAGTAAAGAGATTGTCCTGGCCAGACTCTGTATAGAACACAAACGCTCCATACCTGCTCTAAAATGACCCCCCCTCCCAATCCTACAACCCAATACCCAATTGGACAACCTGTCATTGATTTAAAAAAAGCCATTAAATAACCCATTGAGGTTGATATGGACACATCCTAATAGACTGCATTGATTTAAAAAATCTTGTCAACATTAAATAACCCATTGAGGTACCATGATAATGCAACATAAAACTGGTTATAAACCAAATCAAACCAGCTGCCCTGGTTATATTTTGAGTACCATCCCTTAACTGGTTATAAAGCTAGAGTACCATCCCTTAATGTAGCAACATAAATGTCCTTGGAGGCTAAAACTTTTTTCTGTAGATACTTGATAATACCAGGATGCCAAATTTTGTCCATTTTCAAGTTGCTACTGGTTACATTTGAAGTCTTCTTTGAACAGTCAGATATCAGTTTACCTTGAAAGAAACAATGCAGTTATTGATAAGAAGTGAAGTTAATTCATGCAAGATTTCATAGCTCTAACATCACTCCTTCATAGTCAGCCTTTGAACTTTTCAGCCCACCCACTTACAGCTAGATATTTTCCATAAGAGATATATTAGAAATATCTATAGTTTCACATGGAAAGACAGTCTCAAATGAACAGTTGTTTGATATGCAAAGCATAGAGGTCTTCTTGATGCAGTCTCAGTTAAGATGCTCAGGATATATTGTTAGGTTGAATAATGAAAGACAAAAATTCTCACTTATGGTCAACTTCAGGCAGGGATGTGTAATGTAGGAAGACCTCTTCTTAGATACAAATATATATTAAAAGATAATCTCAGACATATTGGAAGAGAACCATCAAAATTTGGGGAATATGCTGTTGACCAGAGTATGTGGAGAAAAACATGCCAAAGTATTATTCAGAGTGACATCCACACAAAAATTGAGCTCATATATAATCTCAGGCAAATTTGGATGAATACTTTCTCTGTTTAACATTTTGTATATGAAAGAAGCAGTGTTATTTTCAAAAGCAGAGCAAACAAATGGGGAATAAAGCAAAATGCAGAGTTTTGGCCTTGATGCATCAAGGCCAATAAAAAAGTCCATCACACATATATATATATATATATATATATATATATATATGTGTGTGTGTGTGGAATGATGTTTTGTTTTTGGATGTAGTGTATGGAGAAAATGTCCAAATGATTATTCATTTTGAATGCTTTTAGCTAATCCATTAGCAATTTTCAAGGATATAGGTTGTGCTATTGCAAATGGTGTGTAGTTTGCTGATACGTAGACAAGTTTTTAATGTCCAAACACTGCCAGAACATTATGGCTGTATTTGGAGTTGATGTTGTTAAGGTTTATTTTTTATGACGTGGGGTTTTATTATTTTTAGAAATTTTTTACAGTTAGATGTGTATATTTGTGTTTTTGACAAGTATTTTATATATCAAACTTTCATGCAATGATTCATTGAAATAACTTCTTTGATAAAGCCAGTCAAAAATTGTGCCTATGAAATGAATCCAGATTTACAATGAAGTCCCAAGTTATGTCAACTTGTCATATTACACTAAAAGTTTTAAATCAAAGTTTTGTCACTTTTGTCCATGCATTGTTTATAGAAGCTATTTTGTAGATAGCTTTCTATTTTTAACATTAATTAGAAATCCAATCACTCATTAATAAATAAAATTGACTGAATATTGTCTAATTAATGTAGATTATGTAAATGCTTATTCTTTTCTAGGTTTGAAAAGGTATTTTAGTGAAAAACTCCTCTTATATAAAAAGTAAAAGCACACTATTTATTGAAACTGCATGTCAAAGTATAGGTTTGAATTTTTAACTGATCAAGATCTTTTAATATATGTAAAGGTTACTGTTAAGTTGACAATGCCTATTTAATGACTTCAAGATAATGATAAAAGATAAATTTAAAGCCATCCCCTTGTATCTGATTTGCCTTTTGTTAAGCATTTCACAAATCTTAAGATGCTGTCTCTATCTTTTAAAAGCATATCCTTTTAATATTCAAATAGAATGCCTGTCATCTTGCTTTCAAGTATGATCTTAACCTGTCAATATATATTTCATCTACATCTGCAAATTGTTTTCTTTGCTAGAGTCTTTCTTGCTTTGAGAAGAACATGGTTCCTGATATTAACATTTTCCCCTTAATATAAACTACCTTTCATTATACATTTATTACTTCAGCCTCAAGATTTCATTATCAGCATCCTCTTTAGTTTTACAAACTTCTTATTTGTTTCTTCATAATTCTGTTTTGTGAATGAATTGTTTTTTTGCTACAAATATCTCCATTCTTCTCACTCTCCAAGAATTTTCAAGTGAGCTGTAAATAGGATGTGAAGATACACATTATTTATTACAACATTGATGATAGTATAGTGGCAGAGGGTGAACAATGAAAAAAAAAACAAAGCTGTAGAACTTAAAAGTTTGCTTGATGACAAAACTAATTGAAATGATTTAAAATTTCATATCAGAATTGCGGATGTATAATAAAATTTCATTTCTCAGTCCTTTACCAAAATATTACAAAAATAAATTATTTATAAAACCCCGTATTTAGTAGGTCTGTGGCTGAATGGTTAGAGTGTTAGTGTTTTGACTATGAGAAAACCATTCCACAGATTGAACCAAGCCATGTAAGTGAAATTGGGTAAGTAAAACTCTTTGGAAACTGTCAATGTTTGTGCTAGCATGAAGTCACAAGTGACTGAGGGTTTGAGTATACTGATTATGTTCAACTCCCTGATCACACCAGATCATGTGCTCTTTCCCAGAAGCTGTAATTAAATTCTACTCATCATAGTTGCAGTATAAACCATAGCTTGAGTGCTGAAGAAACATAACTATACCTGAGCAAGTGTCTGCAAAAGGTATTACTTAACTGCCATAGCAGATAGGCATACTTGGAAATGAGCAGCAAGTCAATCATATTCAATTAAAAATTGCTTGTATATTTATTGGAGTACTTTTTAGTTTGTGTTTGAAAGTTATTAAGTGAAATAAAAAAACAAATTCTTAGTTTTTGATCCTAAAAGCTTTTGGCTTGATGCCCTAAATCATTCAGATAACATGTTAAGACAAATGTACAAGTCACTCTTCCTTTCAATCTCACTTTTGTTATTCAATCAAAAAAGAATTTTTTTGACACATCTGTCTTCATTTTCTACTTTTTCTTTTTATTATTTATTTTGTGTTTATAGGATGTATAATAGTATCCAAAACAAAAGCAATGATGATGAAGTGGAAATTTTTTTATGAAAAACATGTTTTGTCAAAGAAAGCTTATGCTCTCTTTGGCATCATCAGTTTGACTAAAAGAAAGGCAAAATTATGTGTGAGAAAAATGTCTTGGTATCACTGAGAATAAGTAGGTATTGTAAATCAAATTAATTACTCTAGCTTATCATTTCCTGACTTGAAACTTGAAGAGAGTCTATCTGCCTCTGCACTTGTTTGTTTTATCTATATCTCTATTAAAGCTCTTTGGTATTGTAGGATTTTAATTCAGGGATTTTTAATTATTTATAAGCTAGAGTAATTAATTTGATTTGCGATACTCACTTATCCTCAGAAATCTCAAAACATTTTCCTCACACATAGTTTTTTCTTTCTTTTGGTCAAACTGATGATGCCAAAGCTTTCTCCGGTGAAATGTATCTTTTATAAAAGAATTTTTTCAATTTGTTTCATCATATTCACTGATTATTTGTTATAAGAAATTCTTTAGGAATGTGGACCTAATGTTTGCTTTAAATAATCCTGGTGCTCAACATTCTCTCTCCTTGTCTTTTTATGACAATAGGTCAGTAACTCTTTATTGTAGTTAATAGCTGAATTTTGATCTGAGATTTTCATTGTATAATTTTTAATCTATGAGAGTAATGGAGGAGCATTAAATGTATTGATAAGGAAAATGTTTATGTTAAAAAAAAATGCTTTTTTTCATCAGTAGACATTGATTTTCTTACATATACACCTGTTCAAATCAACAGATTAGTTCCACTTATGCAAAAAAATATTTCAACAGCAGACATAACTCATTTTTCACTCTTTCTAGACCACCTGTTAAAATTTCTTCAAATTTTTATTAGAAATATTTCACAGAATTCTTTAGTGATTTTGATTCAAGTACATTTTTCTGCAATTATTGATTTGACAACTTTGAGTCAAACTGCTTAAACTGCAGTGAATTGAATGCTGTGAAAGTTTTCTGAATGTGTCAAGTAATTTTAAATCTTTATAAATACAAATGAAGAATTATTTCACTTTAGTAAAATTATGATAGTAAATATTTTACTGGGGTTTATTTAACTGATATGCCTGAAATTTCTTAATTTTTTTTTTTTTTTTTGAAAGTTATTAATAATTATTTTGTGTGCATTGACACACACACACACACACACATATATTCTAAATTCATCTGTTATCACATGTATTCTTTTGTACTATTTTGTTTTTTCTTTCTTTGTTCAGGTGCGCAAGATTGGTGGTGGTGGGTTTGGGGAGATATATGAGGGGTTTGACTTGATTACCAAGGAATCAGTGGCCTTAAAGCTGGAGTCTGCCAAACAGCCTAAACAGGTCCTCAAGATGGAAGTAGCTGTACTTAAAAAACTGCAAGGTAACTACTCTTGTGACGTTTAACATTTTTTCTTTTAATGATAACTTTTAAAAATATTTTCTGGATTTTTCTGAATAAATAGCAGGATTATAGAAATGTACCCAATTAGTGCGGTCACTTGGTTACTCAATCTGCTACTGAATGATGCAGTTTATCAAGCAATAACATATTCTTAAACTGCCTGTAAACAGAATTGGGATTGGTTTCCATTTGAAGTTTCCATTTCTGTAGGGTTTGATAAGTGAAAAGCTTTTAGGGCTGTATTTACTTGCTTTGGCCCCTCAAGAAGGATGATCACAGCAAAATACCTGGGTCATGGTACGTTTGTTTTTCTTGTTAAGTTTCTCTGTTCTAGGTGACAGACAACCCAGACTGAAGAATTCAGTCTCTTCTGAAAAGGTATATTCCAAATTATGTGTGCTTGTGAACAGATCCTATGAGAATAGATTACTGACACTTTTGATACCACCAATCCCAGCTGAGTGCAACCTTCATAGTGTATGTAATTGTTTACCAACCTTGCAGAAAGGGACCCATCTTTGAATTGATGTCAGTAAACTAACTGCAGATATTTTTCTAAAACATTAATGCCAGTAAATGTTCCCTTCTATTACATTCAGAATCTTTGCATAGCACTGATGGAATGCAATTGTATACTGTCAAGGATTTCGTCTTGAATTATTGATCAAAGAATGTCCATATTCTCTTTCACACCAACTGCATGGTCCAAGAAGTTGCAATTGACTGCATTCCATAGCAACCAGCAAAGCTGGAATTGGATGAAGTTTCAAAACCACAAGAAATTACAAAAGCAATTGATTGGCTGAAGTATGGTAAAGCCATAGGTGTTGATGGCATCTCTCCAGGGATCTAGCAAAATAGAAGACCTTCTCTGTATACAAAGCTCTAGGAATTTCTTGACTTCTGATGGGAGCCAAGGTAAAATACCTAAGGTCTTTAAAAGAGTGTTTCAATTAACTTCAAAGGCACAATAAATTTCAGGGAGATGATCTACAGCAAAGTTTTTGCCTATTGGAAAGAATTCAAGAATTCACCTATCTATTGATGCCAAAGTAGACAAAAAAAAAGACAACAGATAGTTAAAGTTTAACAAAACCTTTGGTTGCTTATGCAAATGTGTTTGAAGCTATAACAATCACCAGATAGACACAAGAGCAAATAATTTATTTTGGAATTTTTGATATATCTTACTATTTAAATCAGCATGCTCATCTTGCATGTTATAACCTCTTAGATTGAATAAAGGGTTCAGTTCAAAATCCCAAGAAGATTACTAAAGTATGAAGATAGACATTTGAAGAAGACCAAAAGAGTATCATGGACAAGATGAGCATGGAGGTCCAAATGGCAATGTATACAAAGGTCTACAAATCTGTTGTGCTGACAACTCTCCTTTAGGATTTTCTGGGACATCTATCAGTGACACCTCTATCAGCATTGCCTCCATATAATTTTTTTAAATATTCATAGAATCTGCTTCTTAAAACACACTTAATTTTCCTTTTTCTCCCTCTGCATCTCAGTGGTGACTCACGTGAATCAAAAGCTTCAAACAACACAACATGAACTTTGGTCAATTTATCTATATATAACAACTGCATTTACAAAAGGATATTCATACATTAGAAAAAAATGATCACTAAATATAATAGACACAAAATGTCTATTGCTTTTAACAATGCATGTTTAAAAGAACAATTGTTGCCCAAATATGCCAAATAATTTTGTAATGTACACTCTACTGACATTATATGAAATGCTGAAGTCCTTCAGATTGAAGTACTTCCAGCATTGTGGTTATGCTGCAAATGCTACATATACTCTAGACAGGCTATATGTCGAGGATGAAAGATCATCTTCCATCAACTATGAACAGTCTGCTTGATTTAAGATTAAAAGATTTAATTTCCTGTGGTATTGTCTGCCATCAATGGCATAAAGTCATCCAAGAAAACCACAAAATCAGAGCTGAGTAAATGAACCCATACCTTGAAATAGAGTTCCCTGGAGCTGGTGTCAGATAACTGGTCTGTCTTGTATAGTTCTGTCAGCCATTAGCAGGTTTTGGCTACCCTTCTAAATTTTCACTTATAAAACCAAGTCAGGATGTTCACTCTCTCACACACACACACACACAAAGATGTTTATAAGAAGTTTTTGTATGTGATTGTTTAGAAATTTTTTGCAAATAATTCTTTAATATAAAGTTATTTTGCAATGAAATCTTTTCATTGACATGTTTCCATTTCTTGCTAATATTTTTTATATTGTTCTAAGCTGTTTGTAGTTTTATTTTAGTTTACTATCTGTGCCAATGTAAAGTTTTGTGTGTTTATTGTTTAGCTTTAATGATTCTTGAATATGACATTCTTTTATCCTAAACTGAACGTGTTGTCCTCTGTATTTCTTCTCCAAATATTTCCTTTTTTCTTTCTATTTTATCTTCTCTTGGGGACTGTTGTTCAGCAAAATATCATACGCTATTCAAATATAAAAATACTCTTTGCTAATAGACATTTTTAACAAGTTATCTGTTTCGTGTAGAAATCATTGCATTGGTTCACATGTTTCTCTTGCTTATCAAAAGTCTTTCTCATGCATGACCTGATTGATAATTGATATCTGAGTGAGAAGCCTGTAAACAAATATTTTGAATATATAAATATTTATTAAAAAGCATTAAAACTAATGCACAACTTTTTCATTTGATAACTTTACCTTTCTTGAAGATGAAGTGTTCTTGAAAATAGTTATATTGATGAGAATGTAATGACATAGCTGGAGATTGAGTCAGGCTGGCTTGAATTTAAGCAGTAATGTTCATGCCAAACACTGATAAAGAAAATTTCTGCTTGATTCACCCTATCTACCAGATTGTGAAAGTCTTTTACTTTCAACCATTCAGACTTGCTTTAAAGCTTCTATCTCTCTTGAGTATTGTCTTTGGATTGCTACAACTTTCCACTGTAGTAATTTTGATTTCACTGTTGCTGAGTTGGTAACTTCAACTGAACTGCAAATTTGGGATTAGACAGAGTCTAGAGTTGATTGAAGTATTCATAATGAAATCATACATAGAAATACATCATTCAACTTCATTGAAATTATTTGATTGTTTCTTACTTAACACAGTATATGCTAGATATATTTTTATCAGTTCTATAATGTCATAAAATTTTTCAGAAAAATGGTGCTCAGCTGTTTGGTACAGGAGATAACAAAAATTAATACTGCTTAAAAATAGACTCAAAGCTTTCAGTTCTTACAATTAAAAAGTCAAAATTGAAAACATCTTCTATCACTGATTTGCAATGGTTTTAATCACACAGAAGAAATTCTTTTGTAAGTCAAACTCTGCAGTATCAATTGAAAGGCCTTCTTTTTAGAGAATTTGAAGAGATCATATGTATAGAGAAAGTGACATTAAACCCACAAAAACGTTTTTGTGTTCATCACTATTTTTACTTGTAAAATATTTAATTTACTACTTGTATAATTAATCATTTAGAAATTTTTATTTTTCCGTTTGTGATAACTATTGTTGTTTATAATGAAGAACAAATTAAACATTATAATATAAACTTCACCTAAATGCACATTGTTCTTTCTATCTGCAAGGTAAATTTTGATTCCAAGAATTGATCAAATGTTTAAACTACTTCTTCCTTTTTTGCTCTTGTCATCGCAACAATAGTGTAGTCACTTCTTGGAATGATGATAATGATTCATTACAAAATTTTTATAAACTCATTGTGAAATTTTAAATACTTATGGTACTAAAGTTGCATACAGACTTTATAAACTTGTATAGGAAGAAGGATAAATATTGAGAAATTTACTTTGAAATTTTAAACGTTTTTGTTTTATTAATATTGGTCATATGAAAATATTTTCTGAACACAATGAAATAATATAAAAAATTTTTCCACCTCTCTTTCTTTTCTATTTTTAAAGCATGATTTTCATTGAAATTTAAGCGAAAGGTGTATGTTTGTTTATTGATGTTTAGTGATTTAACTAAAACTCTGATAGCCTTGTATTATCTTCAGATGCTGCTGCCAAGTATTTTGATTAAAGATGCAGTTATATCTGCTATAGGGAAATGGAAGCTAACTACTTCAAAAATTGTCAAATCAGAATCCTTTAGCTGCCTCAAATATTATATATACTTTACATAGTGTGACTGCTTGATTAGGAGAATTAATAAATAAAAAAAGTGTCTCTTATTAATCAAAAGAAAGGCAGAAGCAAGAAGAAACAGAGAAATATATCATTTTTTAAGGAGATTAGAAATGTCTGGATGATTCAAAAGTCAGTTTATATCAAGAACATATTTAATCAATCTTTTTTGTCGACCCATTTGTACATTATATCTCCTTTCCATATAGAATCAGATCAATGCCACTGCTTGCCATTCAAGTGCATATATGAAAGGAGGATTTTATGCATTTGTGCAGTTGTAAAATTTGCAGTATTTTGCATAAATTTGATAAACATCTGTTTTCTCTGTTGAGAAAGGTTAACTTTTTTTTTTAATTGCATGTCATTTCAATTCTTGTCATGAACCTCTTGCACTTATTGGAGAACTACCACAGAAACAATCCTCCTAAAGGAAAAACAAATTATGAATCTTAGTCATTTTTATTGCAACATCACTTCATCAAAATAAAAGTTTCATAAGAAAATGTGAAGCAGGGATTTGTAGTGAAGTCAGCATTATGAATAACCAAAATCCTTACTAAGATCAACAAAAGACAGGAAATTGTGGAGAGCCATGATCAGAACATGGCATATAGAAGAATAAGAAGAATGACAACATGCAATGTTAATTTCTTGTGAATAGTCACCTGATGTATATGTATACAAGATCCTTTTTTTCATGGCACAAACCATCATTTTCTTATCCCTTTAAGCAGAGAACAATCTCAAAGTCTAAAGAAATAGTTAAACGAAGAAAAGTGGTGTTGATTTTTTTTTTA